GTTTTTTTTTTTTTTTTTTTTTTTGGTACCAGGGATTGAACTCGGGTCCTTGCACTTGCAAGGCAGGCCACCAAACCACTGAGCTGAATCCCCGGCCCTCACACTCTAAAATTTGAGGCTGGACATTATAAACTTCTAAGATACATTTATTGGCCAATATGTACATTCTCTTTAGATGGCATCCTACTAATGGATAACACATCAAATAAGTTTTCTTTGTGTCATTTAATGTCTTGTGATCAGATGGAGGTGTTTGACTAAAAGACTATTCCACACTAAGATGGACACTTAAGTGTGTTACAAAGATAATGTCATCATGACTTCATGCCAAAATACCATGTGTTGGGGTGCGGGACTTAGTTTAGTGGTGCCACCGCCTGCCTTACAAGCATAAGATCCTGAGTTTGATCCCTGGTACCAAAAATGATATGATGTGTGGTTCTTGATCTTAAGTCTCTTTATATAATGTATAACTGTTGTCTGTTAATATTCTATAGGGATTCAATTTTTAGAACAATGATGGTTGATAAAAAGTATCAGTCCTCTAACTCTATATGTCAAAGTGCTTGATAGCCAGGTTAAACCATAATAGTTAAGCTTACTACTCCCACTACAATGCTTTGATTTTTTTGTTGTTGTTTTTGTTTTTTGGTATTGGGGATTGAACTCGGGTCCTTGCGCTTGTGAGGCAGGCAGCAGAAAAACTGAGCTAAATCCCCAGCCCCCACTACAATGCTAATGTCACTGATCTTCTCTTCTGGGTGTTCAACAACTGAAATTTGAAGACCAAAACTAGAAAGGTAACAAGGCTAAAAGAATAGCCAGTATTTTGGCCCTGGCCCTCCAAGATCAACAAAGATCCAGGACATGAGGGAACCTTTTCTACAGGATCCAACAACTTTGGTGAGTCACCCAACCTACTGAGCAGGGAGATTATTGGACCCCAGAGGACAAGAATCAAAAAAATGCACAGTGCGCCAGAGGAGGGTCACCAAAAGGGAAAAGTCTCCCATGCTTTCATAGAAAGCAACATGGTCAAGCAAGGATGTGACCCATTCTGAGAGCTGACACAAAGAGAGGAGCTGAGAGACTCTATGCATGGTTCCAAAGTAATATCTAAGGAGACTTGGCTGACCTGATAGATAACAAGGGGTTGATTTTGATTAACACAGGTCTCATTTCACCTTGGCTTTAAACACCCAGCAGAAAAATATAACCAAAAGACATATAAAAACTGTCCAGCCTAGCCTAAGTTAGTCCTTCACAAACAAATGTGACAAAGCAAACAGGCTGCTTTTAGCAAACAACAGCAGTTTTTCAGCAAATAGGGCAAATAGACTCAAAATATAGTTTACAACCCCTTGGCACTGAGAAGTCCAGTAATTGTGTACCTACCTGAGCAGACCATCACTGGGTATCCAAGTCATAAGCATTTCACCCCAGATTCCTTAGCCCCTTAATACCTATATAAGCCTGATTCCTTTCGCAGTTAGCTGCTGATACCTCTTTCCCCTGGTGTTAGCCCATCCTCTCAGGGATGAAATCTCTCCCAGCCAGCTGCCATTATCTCTCTCCCAAGTTCAGCCCATCTACACACAATGCTGCCAGAATCTCCTGATTTTAGTCCTTGTCGACTGGAATAAACTTTCCTTTCAAAAGCCTATTTTTGACAAGTGGATTCTTTATAACAAAAACAATAATAAAAGAGGCCCCAACTGATGACTCCTTCTGGCAGTTTCCGACTACACCAGTAGCTGACCAATGTTAGGGTTCAGTGAGGCTAAAAACTATGGTAGAAGCTACAAAAGTTCAACCAAAGACTTTAAGTGCTTTAGTTACAATTGTCCTTCAAAACCACCAAACTCCATCTTCTTACAGCTAAAACTAGAGACTTATGACAAGAAATATCAGGCTTATAGATAACCTCCATCAGTAGAGGGCTCTAAGAGCCAACTGGTATAATCCCTGTTTCAGTCCCTTAAGAGGAGTTTCAGGACATTGCCCTTTCCCCACCCTGCCTTTCCATTCTAGGGTTCATGCTTTGATTATACATGCTCTAATTTCTTGGAAAATTTGCTTATTCTTGCCTAGACGCTGGCAAACTCCAAATAATCATGCAATGGAACCGAGGACAAATTTGCCAGATTCCTTTTACCGAGATCCACTAGATCGACCTTGTGAAGGGAGTTCCCATCTGCTAAACTGCAACTTGACTTCTAGCCAAGCCCATTAGTTTAGCTGTCTAGAGAAAGCCCCTAACTGCTGTCTCCCCTACAGTGACCCTTCTCAACTCGAAACAGCTAGATAAAAACGATGCCCCTTTTCCCTTAACCGCAGTTAGGGATAGCTCCTCAGAGGGGGGAATATTATAGACAGTGAAGTTAGTTAAAATATTATAGGCAGTCAGACAGGGCTGGGCCCTCCAGAGAGTCAGTGCAGAAGATAAGAACATATTACAACTGTGGCTGGAGGTGCATTCCTTAAAGGTCAGGCTTCCAAACAAGGAAAAGAGACTGCGACCACATATTTCCCCTAGAGACGAACAGTATTGATTGATATTCTAAAGAGGCACCAATCATCTTGGGTGGGGGACCAGAGCCTCCCAGCCCATTCCTTCCTGGAAAATCCTTGTTTGGTCCACATGCAGTTGCTATGTGACTTGCCTTCCCATTTGATCCCCATTAATCCATATTATCTAAGTGACTACACTTGTAATCTTATTGGTTGGCCATAGTTTTGTTCCATTTTATACACACCTTGTGCTCTTTCATTGGATCAATATTACCTAAGTGATTCTACTTGTAATCTTATTAGTTGGCTGTGGTTTTGCCCCACTTTATGCCCTGCCTGACCTTGTGGTATAAAACTTGCTTGAGAAGCGAGGTCTGCTGGCAACCTACTTTCCAGGCTCCCTTCTGTCTCTCTTAGATAGAAGCTATCTTTCAATCAATACTTCCTACTCTTTTTTGGGGGTGGGTCCCTTGAGCTTGCGAGGCAGGCAGTGGCACCACTGAGTTAAATCCCTGGCCCTGGTTTTAATTTTTTTGAGACAGAATCTTGCTATGTAGCCCAGGCTGGCCTTGAACTCATGTTGACCGTCCTGCTTCAGCCTCCTGATAGCTGGAATTACAGGTGCACCCAACACGTGCACATTCTCATTTCTGTATGGAAGTAGGTGGGGTGGTGTTCAGAACATATGAGTCCTAGAACAGTGTGATTCTGGTGGCCATTCAAAGGCTAAAGTAGATGCCGGCTGGACACCCAGCCAGGCCATTCCTGTGCTACCTACCTGTCTAGCCAGGGTTGGGGTTTATCACACTCAGAGGCAATGGGTTTTCTAAGTCAGATTTAACATGAGATTTTTGCGGCCTGTATTTCCTGGATTTTACTGTTTTGTTAAGATTTGTCCAACTCCCCTGAGATGCTGAGAGACCATTGACCTTGACAGGTGCATTACTTCTGACCTACGGTCACCTCCACCTGTGAAAACTCCCATACTTTGGGTGTCATGAGCGTCCACTGGAAAGGAGGTGGGTGGTCCAGGGACACACAGTAGGCACCGACTGAACGCCTCCAAGCGGGGGAGTCACTAGCAGAGGTGCCTGTCCAAGGTGTGTGTCCTGAAGAAGATTGAAGCCATGACCCTGAAAATAATCTGTCCAATCAAAGTAAAAAATGGAAATTTTTATGGGCTGGGGATTTAGCTCAGTGGTTCTGGCTCCTGCCTCACAAGCACAAGGGCCCAAGTTCAATACCCATTACCAAAAAAAAAAAAAAAAAAAAAAAAAATTTTACTTTTCCCACTGAAGTTCTTTATATGCTTTGTCCTCCCAAACTGTAGGAATACTGTAGTTTATTGTGAACAGCACACATAATAGCATACACAATGCTTCCTTTTTCAGACCTGTCTTTCCACTCTGTTGGGTTGTGTCATAAAATCACAACTTTTGTCCTAAAGCTCATGTTTTCCAGCATTCAGTGATGATCTAGAGATGCAGTACATTCACCTTGGCACACTCAGGGAAAGTTCGCTTTCCCCTTGAGGGAGAGGGTCGTTGGACCTCTACTTGTGAAAGCCCAAAAGTCTCACACTTGTCCTTATTGAGGATCTGCACTGGGAAGTCACAAAGGCCAGCAGTGGAAGCCAGAAAGCCTGCCTGTGGGGTGAAGGATCTGTGCCACCAGGCTGAGGGATCTGCACTGGACCCAGGAAGTGATGCTCAGGAAGATCAGAGCTCCCCTGAGAAGAGCAGCCATTCCCAGTGACAGCGAGACCCCGAGTCGAGTTTGAATCAGGAAAACCATCTGCAGCAACCTCCTCCTAGAAAATAAACTGGCCAAGATCTTCCCCTCCAGTTCTCTTTTTATGGCTATTGGTAACAGTCCTCAGTTGGATCCTCCATGTCCAGACCATGCTGATTCAATTCAGCTGGGTGTTCGAAGTTGATAAGCTTGAGGTCCTGAGTTTGATCCCCCATAACAAAAACAATAACAAAAAACAAGGTGGCAGCTGGTGATGTGGCTTAGTGCAAAAGCCCTGGGTTCAACCCCAGTACTACCAAAAAAAATTTTTTCCATGACCCAGCAATTTCATACCTGAGCAAGCTCCCAGGAGAAGTGAACGTGCCCATCCAAAGAGCTTCTCACACCTTGCTTTTATCCATAATAATGCAAAGCAAAAGATGACCCACATGTCAGAGAACTGACCAAAGGATTGTGTAATATATAACATAATGCTACTCACCAGATGTGGCGGTGCACGACTAGGATCCCAGCACTTGGGAGGCCAGCCTGGGCTATAAAGTGAGACCCTGTCTCAAAAAAATACACATAAATAATGCCACTCAGCAGTATAAAGAAATAAACTACTGACACCCACGATGACACAGATGAATTTTAAGGCATGATGCCAAAAAGAGACCGGCACAGAGGGACCCACTATGACGTTCAAGGGCAGGCGAAGCAGATGAGGTGACAGACGACAGAGTAACAGGGGTTACTGGGCATTGATAAGAAGGGGCGTGCGGGACCCTCTGCGGTCTGCAGTGTTTTACATCTTGATGAGGTCCGCTGCAAACAAATGCAAGAACCAGTGAGCCGGGCATTTGAGATCAGTGCACTTTGTGTATTTGTTCTATGTTATAGCTCAATTTAAAAATAAGAAAAATACTGGAAGTGTTTTGAATTTCCAAGAGACCTAAGTCAGTGACATGTGAGTATATATATATATATATATATATAT